ACAGGAGTGAGTGTGTGTGTGTTTGCTGCTGCCATACTGTTGGTTTTTTCCACACCGTGTAACTGGAGAAAAAGTGGCATTTGGTCCACAGATTTCGCCTTGAGAGAGCCGGGAGGTTATGTACATTTAGTCTACCTACTCTGGACAAATGGGGTTTTAAGTCGCTGTTTTTGCAGGGTGCTGGGGAAAGTTTTGTCTTGACAGTAGACTGTGATGGTGGCCACATGCACGGGATACCACAGGCTGGCATCTGACACAGGAATTCAGTACAGGTCTCCTTCTGATTGGTCCTACCCCACCCCACCGCACAGCACATAAATAAATACCAGGGGAGTTATAGCTACCACCTGTGGGAGAAATGGGGTTTGGAGATGGAAAAATGAGGAGAAATTGAAATATCAAAAACATTTTCATGTCAAACTGTGTTACTGGTAAGTCCATTTTGGAGAGAAAAAATCCTACATACCAAATACTGAATACTGTAGTCTTTTTGAGCCCAAATTGAGTACAGTAAAAATGAGGGGAAGGAAAATTTAGATCTCAATATATCTATAAATTCTAACTTTTATGAATTTGGGGTTTTGTTTGGTGTTCTTGCCTTCCTATATCAAAAACCACAAAAAATTGGTCTGTTACTATCGAATGTGAGATAAAAACAAACTACTTTACTTACAAATGTTTTATGCATGAACAATTCAGAAAATTATGAAGTTGGCAGACGTTCAGACGGTTGACATGTTTTATTTCAAAAACATGTTGAGACAGTTGTAATTACAGGTTACCCAGGGTTTCCGTTTGGAATAAAGCAAAGACCCTGAAGCTACAACATCCACAATTGTCCTCATTGTTCACTAGACTTGTTGTACATCAAACTATTGTCCTCTCAACGAGTTTTGACATGCTCACCTTTCCGCAGACCTTAACGAACTTTTAACACACCTGTCTACTGTAATACTGACCTCATAACCAGACATACATACATGGAAAACAACGTACGATAAATCAGCAAAATTTCTGTCTTTTGGCATACTTTTGTTGTACTACAAGGGTCAGTGGCCTTTGCCTTTTCCAACAAGGCAAGAAGCATGACTTTGTGGCTTGTACTATGTTTAGCATCACTGTGTTTATTGAACATAGACTCTTTTATGTTCTGCCTATTCTGGTACAAAAATGACTTGCTTGCTGGGTAAGTCAGCAATGTGCGTGTGACACTGTCAGGTCTAATACTAGATTGAGTACAGAGAACACCAACAGAAAATTTGAAAAACCTTCCTAACAGTTTGTTCAGCATATCAAAATTCCAGCTGGCATAGCCTCTACAAGCAGGCTTTTCTGCAGTCTTGATTCTGATGGCTCCTCTAATCCAAACCATGGCCTTGAGGCCTTGAAAATGCTGAGGAACTAGACTTGCTGATTGTAACAGATCAAAGTAACTTGTTTTTTATATACAAACTGACCTTGCTTTTTGTGAAACCTAATGCGATGATGATATAAAAGAGCCATTTGGAACAGACATGTCATCAGGATTTGTCAGAACTCAGTACAAGAGGAGTAAGAAGAGAAGTCAAAGGAAGGGATTGTTGATGGGCAGTTCCCCTGAAGGCCAGGGCTTGGCCTGCCAAACGTCTGTTTTTGTTCGCGCTGAGGAGAGAACCAAGCTGAGGAAATCTCTCCGCCTGCTTACAGAGACACTAAAGATCAACCCCCTCTTCACACGCAACCACCCCCTAATCCACACACAGGTCTCTCAGGCTAGTAATCTCTCAGACATGGATGGGTTGGAGAAATAAGGGGGTATATTGACGTCCGACTTAGGCGCACTTTGGCGCCCAATCCGGTGAAGGACTGGATGTTCTGTCCGTGGTATCTACACGTGGCCCGCAGGTCTTTGATCTCTGCTTCGCCGGCAGCCATGTTTTGCATGGACTGTTTGCGTTTATCTTCCCGAGGAATCTTACACAAAGCTGTGATAATATCAGACACTCTCAGCCCTGGCCACAAACCCCGCTCTGTCTTCTAACTCTGTGACTCGGTTCTTTAGCTAGAACTGCCCCGGAGACATGCTTTTAATTGTGTTTCCCGGCTTTTGATCCTCTGGTTTATAGCTTAAAATCTGTGTGGAACCGATACAATCAACAAGGCTCAGTTGCTCTAATATGTAGGAATGTATAAGGACAAAAACAACCAGAGCTAGACTCAGGGGGGAGCACAACCTCACAAAACTCTGCTTCGGAAGGGCCCTTTGACCAGTCTAGCCGAACACACTTTCAGAATGCTTAACAAGGATATAACGCTCTTTTACTATTCACTGGACAAAGCAACGTTAACCCTTGTTCCAAAATTCTATACCCTGAACGGGGGTCTTTTATATTTTCACAATGTCTGCGTCCCCTTTGTAAATTGTACATGCTTTAACAATTGCCAGTCAGTTCAAAGGTTCTGATTGTACGATATACGAGGGGCCACTTTCTGAGTCAGACTGGAAGTCTGGTCACCACAAGTGCAAGGAAAATCATATGCACATATCCATGTCATACCCTACGGAGTTTTGTTTGCAAAACTGGCGTCAATTTCCAGCGAGAATTTAACCCCCCAAATAGTGCTTCCTCAGGGGGGTGGGGGATTTGCACCTATCGTTGCTGTCTCACCAGGGGGGAGTTAGCAGATTTGGGGTCTCCCTCCCTTTGAAGTTGACCAACCCTTGTTTACCCAAGCCTTTTTAATCTGTTATCTATGCTAAAATCAATGCATTTTGCATTATCTGTTGTTTTACCAGTTAGTTTGCCTCCCAGTCAGGAGTAGACAAATTGTCAAAATAAAACTGATAACTACATGATTGTACTACACTACTCTCCTTATAAAACTAGTTGGTCTATTTTCTCACAGGAAAAATGTATGTTTTGTGGAAAGAATACTACGTTTTGCTTTGAGATTGTTGTAGCTTTCATAGAGGGGGTTTCACAAAACTGTTTACTACATTGTACTATGCCACTGTCCTTACAAAACCTGTTGGTCCAAATGTTGGTGTTTTGTGGTAAGAATTCTACATTTCGCTCTGAGATTGTTGTGTCTTTCCTAGAGGGGGGTTTAAAAGATGAAAGCTTGCCCTTGGAGCCAGACCATCATTGTACGTCTCCAGCCAACCAAAGACTTGAACTAAACCTGCCTTCAGGGACTTCACTTCAGGGTTCTAGCTAGGATTTAATTTTAGCGTAGTGGCACTGGCCACATGATGAGGGAGCGAAGCGGAGCTTTTAAAAATTTGAGCTTAAAAATAGGCCATTTGAGGGATACCCAAAGGGACAAAATGTGATTTCTAAGGTATGTACTACTGTATCCTGAATTTGGTAATTTTTCACATTTGATCTGGCATTCTTGAACAAAGAAATACTGTCACCATGCCCCTATGCTGTATTGAAAATTAGCATATGGGGGTAAATTTATAGCGTAGTGGGTCAAAATTATAGCGTAGGGGGGGGAATTTTAGCGTAGGGGGTCAAAATTATAGGGTAGGGGGCCCCTACGCTACTTTGCACTAGCTAGAACCCTGCACTTTATCATTGTTCTCTTCTCCGCCACCAGTTTAATCCTCAAAAATCCCAAACGTTCAACTCGCTTAAACTTCAAAAGAACGGTTTCCCTCTTGTCTGTAACAGCTTTGTGGCAGAGTTGTTGGTAGGATGGGGTTTAGTGTGGAATATATAATGTATAACTTCTCTCTGAACAGCCATGCTTACTGTAATGCATTTTGTTTGGTACGGTTTTGTCCACATATACTCTGTTACAGTTAACATTCCTGGCATTACGTTAAGCCGGACTTTATATTTGCGTGTCACGACAAAAGAATGAAGTTTTCGTGTTGTGTCAACGCTCGCGATAAGCGGAAAAAACATGCGCAACCCCTGGAACGACTTTCAAACCAGCTGGCTAACTTCGACTTTCCGACTTGTGCTAATCCATTTATCCAATACATCGCCGTCGATTCCTAACCCTGGTGAATTAATCTGCATTCTCCGACAGTTTTAATTTCATCCCCTCCAGCTAAAAGGCTCTCGCGGGGATTCTTATGATCTCTCTCCGTCCAGGCAAGGTTAAGGTTAATCAAATCACTACAGCGAACTTTCAATCTGTCAGTCAAACACAATAATCTAATGGCTCTGATCTTCGGTAGGTGCCTTCTGCTAAAGGAAAGATATCCGCATGAGATTACAGAATCGGGGATCTGGGTATGTGACCTTGGGAATCCGGGGGGGATTTGGACGTTCTATGATTCACAGCGGGGGAATCTTCAGCCGAAACAAAGTGCTCCTTTCTCTGCGTGTGTCTGCCTTTGCAAAGTGATTGCTTCTAAACCACAATTTAAAACTCCATTTGGGAAATGTATTACCTCTTAGCAGCAGTAAGTAATATCCAATATTAGATTATACCTCTTAATCACGTTAAAAAAAACTGTAATACACAAAACATACACATATAAAAACAATAAATTCAGCAGTATACATGATCACAAGAAAATATAAAACTAAAAGTTACATCTGTGTAAATTTCAAATGATTTATCGCGACTAAAAACAAGAATAAGTTCTGAAATACACGTGAAAACTGAACAATGCCATTTGGTTAGTATTTCTTCATTCTGTACCCGTAAAAGATGTTACGGTTAGCTACAGATAAGGAAAACATCAAAAATAATATAAACAGACCGTATATCTTATTCCAGCTCCATTAAAAGGTGTTAAGGTTAACACTCCCACATTAGAACTACCTTTTGATTGCCGGTGGTAACAATACAGTCATGACATAAATAATGGAGGTCTTTGTTAGATAAGCCCAGATTTGTGGTTTGGGCTAACATGGGGTGTTAGGGTTCAAAATGATGTACCCAAACCTCTGAAAAAAAGAAAACAGGCTAATAACTCTTTTGCAAAGCGTAATAAAGGTGTAGTGAAGTTGTTGAAGTGTTTTGTAAGGTTCTTGAAGAGAAGATTTTTGTTTGTTTACCTGTGTGACTGTTGGAACGGTCTGATATCTCTGGCCGCCTTCCTGCATCCAGACTCCCTCCATGCAGGAAACCTTCTCTTTCAGGGCATAACCGACGATGTAGGCTACTGAGACCATCAGATAGCAGGCCGAGAGGAAGATGATGGGTCTTTCCGGGTACCTGAACCGTCCAGGGTCGATCAGGTAGGTTAGGACGGTGAAGAGGCAGCTACAGGCGCAGAGAACTGACCAGATGCCAATCCAAACCTGGGCGAATTCTACCTCGTCGTCGCGGAAGTACATGGAATCGCAGGGCGCTCCGCAGTCCTTAGCTCCGAGGAAGGAATACCCGAGGGCCGGGGAGACTTTCAGCTCTCTGGGGCAGTAGAAGCCATAGTCCTTGCGGATCGGATTCTCCGTTACAGCCGAGCTGTTGCCGTTATTGGCCGTAGGAACCGCCGTGGGGATTTGCTCAGTCCGGTTTTCCCCGACGCAGATTTTTCCGGGCGTTCCCTGTACGGGGAACTTGCTGCACTCCAGACTCTCCGGCCACTGGAAGCCGAACTTGTTCATGAGGGCTTCGCAGCCGGTACGAGCGCTGTTACAGAGAGATCGGCAGGGAGGGATAGCCCTCCTCGAGTACGGTACACACGGGCGCATACATGGCGCACAGAAAGAACTTGAGATCGGGCGAGCACTGTACCTTGACCAGTGGGAAGAACTGGTGTACCTCCAAGCCGGCGTCCTCCTGCTTCTGGTGGTTGAGCAGATTGGGCATGATGGTCTCGTTGTACTGTATGTCCGTGCAAAGGGGAATGGTGATGGCTTCGCAGCGGCCGTGGTGGCCTAGGCTGGAGCTGGAGGAAAACTGCTGCGCCCTGGCGACTAGCGTTCCACCCTGGAGCACACAGCAAAGCACCAGCAACCCGACCCAACCCGCTCCGACCAAACCCCGCATCTTGATCCTTTCTAACGCACCTTCCTCACCTCAGGATCATTCCGGGGAATCCTTGGGCCAATCTAGAACTCGGGTGATCAGGAAATATGAGGATTTCACGGCGAAATTGACTCAGGAAAGGGACACAATTTGTCAGATTCAATGTTCAGCTCCGCCACATTCCAACAAAGGCCTCCAGCACTCGGCCAGACAAGCAGTGACGTCACGAACATGGCGGACCTCAAGCCAATCACCGCGCGGCGTTACCGTCACGTGGTCGTTAGGCTATCATTGGAGTTTTTCGTGCTAATTGATCCGTGTTTTTCTTACGACTCCCCCTGATCGTTATAAAAACATTCCATGATTAGTATCATCTGGCCGCTCTGTCCGACTTTTTACCAGACACGTATGAATATGGAGGTGTTTATTCAGAACACTTGGCCCCGATGGCGGAGAATTCTCCGCATTTAATGAAACAAAAGTGACGAAACGTGTTGTTATGTTTGGACATTTTGGTCGGCCATTGTCTAGTCACTAGTGGAGAATACACACCACACACACCACTGACCGGCTGTTTTATTCAGGGTATTTGTGGATTATGAAAAGATACACACTGCCTTCTTCCATGCGTGCACGTTTGATTGTTCATTTCTCTGTGTTTTCCTGAAAAATATAATCTTGTTGTTTATATAACCCCCATCACCTTTTTATTACATGGTTATTAGTACCAATGTCAGTTTAAAGCCTCTACTTTTACAATTATATCGTTACAAGATATTACCTTTTTAAATGTCTGCTACTAGTAATGTACTAAACTAAAACATAATAATAATACTGGTTTATTTCTTTCATACTATGCTGTACAGAGTAGCAGGGTCCCCGTAGGGCCCTGAATTGGTCTGCCGCATTACAAATTGTTAAAAACGGTTGGCACAAATATTAAAAGCAATTATTAAAGACAGTTAAAAACAGCAATTATTAAAAGTATTTACAATAGGTGGCGATCATAGTCAAGCGGTTAAAAACAGCAAAATTGTTAAAAGTATTTACAATAGCGTATACCGTGTCATGACAAAACAAACTGAAAATGGGATGCAAATGAAATATGAACATTCGTACTGCTTGTCCCAAAGCCCAGTTGCCAAGAACAAAGCCATTAATAATGTAGGTATTAAAGGACAGACAGATGGCACATGTGCGGGTTCTATTGTTTTAACTGACAGGGATCCTTGTGGGCTCTTATCCCTTCACGTATTCAAAGTGACTGCAATCGAAAAGTGCAAAATAGCCTCTACCAGGCTTCCGAGGCTCTCAGATCGGCAAAAGTGTGCTCCTTTAGCGGACTTACTTACTTTAATAGCGGACTACCCTACAAATTGATGACACAATACTAGTAATTAAAAAATAACTGCAGGTGATTGTTACATAATCATTGAATCATAAATTCATGCTGGGCGGAATAATTTATATATGACTCCCGTGGCATGTCACCTGTGGTATAATTTTGCCCCTAATTTCTAAAGCCTTGTAAAGGCTATGTAAGCTTTGATGACTTAAAAGCCCATGTTTGAATCTTTATTTTCATTTTAATATTGTTGAAAAACCAACACTAGACATTATATGTGTCTGCAGCTTTTTTGTCAAACGCAAAACCATTTTCCTTTAATATACTAATTCGTCTTGTTTATATATCGAAGTATAAGTATGCATTTCATGTGTGCTCCGCTAGGATTGCCACAGTACTGCTAGGGATTCCCCCAGAGGAATGATACTACTGGCCCTAACCTGCCTGTCAAATGGATGTGATCTTTCAAGCTTAGTGTTGTTGTGATAGAAGTGTTGTTAGTGCGCTCTCAGATATCATCAAAATGCTCTGTAGACCGTTTAGGCTAATCTTCCCAGGCTACAGTTTGGGTGGCATTCTCTACATTCCTCTACTAGTTAATCTGATGAGGCCTGTCGCGTTTCATCATGTCAATCATGTGCCCCTTTTATAAATTTGATTCCCATTTTACCTGGCTTCAGTAAATCTTTGCGATAATGCAGAGAGATCAGCTTTCACATTTTACTCTTCAGTCTGTTTTGCTTTCTACCATGAGGTAGAACAATCGAATGTCACGGAACGTTATTCTAAGAGAAATCGAACATGATAAAAATGCACTTTTTTATTGGAATATTCGAATCGTGCACCTGTTTCTATGTCCTCCGATGACCCTGTATCCTCAGTTGACCCTGAGGAAAGCTGAAAATTATTTCGATTTTCACATTCACAAATATCACAATAATATTTTTTAGGAAAATCAAACGGTAACGAAGGTTCTCGTTTTGTGTATCCGTGTTCATAATGTTCTAAAACTCTATGTGACCCTCCCATTGACACGCATTGCAAAATATTCAATCAAAATGTTCATTCGTATTTGGTGGTAAGTTATCCAGAAGTGACTTTGCAAAGCTGAAATCTTGAACACGATGATCTTACTACATTCTTGATATTATCATTGGTGTGAATCTGTGTTTTAGCCAATCACTGGCAAAAAAATGGCTGTGGTGCAACATCTACAGACGAACGTATTTAGACACGATGTTGGGTAATCAGGTTGTCGGCTAGTCAATGTCCCGGATGTAGGAAAGCAGGAAAGAGGGAGGTCCAAGATGGCTGTCGCTTCCATTGAAAATGTTTAAAAATCCCCGAAATCGGCGTCGCCCGTGACTTTCGGAGACAGGCATTCCTACATTTCGAGCATGTGTGTCTTACGGAGTAGCTAGGGGGTTGATCTGTGGTGTTTTGTTGGACTAGGCGGCAGAGACAGAGGCCAGGCGCCGAAAAAACTGGGCAGTACGACGACAAGCTTTCCCCGCGAAAAGCTGAATTTGGAACCATGAGTGACCACTACTACAACCCTGAAAGTCCCACTGGGTGAGTATTATATCCTTATCCACACTTCCTCTCTGTTACACCAAGGTACATCTGTTTCTGGAGACTATAAAGAAGACACAGATGTGCTTAGGTTGACAGATACCACAGGAAAGATGGTGGAAAGGTGGAAAATCACACATGTATGCGAGCAAGCCAAGCCACGCTTCCAAAACATGTCAATCAGTTAGGTGGAAAATACCTGGTTAATGTTTGACGATCTTGGCGAAAACCGTGGCTCTGGTAGCTCGTATGTGACTAGTAATATTTCTAACGTAAGTAACTAACCTATTCCTTGTTGATGGAGTATTTTTTTATCATTTAGTGGTCCGTTTTCAGGTCTATAGAAACACAAATAATTTATTATGTCTCTCATGGGGGTGTTGGGTACAGGTATGTGGCATTATTATCCTCAGTATCCTCGATACCCAACAACCCCATAAGAGTCCATGGTTGTTACTTACACATATGTTAATGCTTCATTGTATAGAATATTTGTCTACCATTAGAGGTCATACCTGCGAAACAGAATAGAAAGAATTTAGACAGGAGTCCAGATGAAAAAAACACAAGTCGATCAACACCAATGTTGCAGGACAGAAAAATGATACATTCACATGAATCATAATGATACTAGTATTTGTCAATATCATATTATTGAAAGCATTAGGTATTTACGGGTATATTGCCATAAAGGCCTCCACCAGGAAATATGTTAAAAGTTCTTTGAAATTCCAATGCTGTATGACATTTAACACCAAGGTTTAATCATAAGACTGACTCCAAGGTTTGGCGGATGAAACAAATATAGAACTAAAAGCAGCATACGTCAAAAAAGGTTAGACATCCAGGTAATGAGATACACAACTTCAAGAAATTGTTACTCAAGCAACTGGATAGATTTTGAAAACTGTCAGATGTTTCAAGTAGCCTCCACTTCTTTTCCACTACTTAAAACATGTGCCTGCCTGCCTACCTGCCTAAAACATGTGACAGTTCTCAAAATTGTCCAGTTGCTTTAGTAGCAATTAATTTCCGTGTGTAAAAGCAGAATCGATATCTGTATTAGACTAAACATAGATAAACTCCATCTCAAAGATGACAGTTTTGGCAACTTGAAGATTAGGAAGACTTACAATTAACAACAAGGAAACTTTCAACCCTTTTGTGTCTCCCGTATGCATAAGAATTTTGAGTCTCATGTTCGTATTTACACAGCTTTGTATATTCTTCTTCGTGTATTTTCAGGGATATGGACATCAGTTCAGAGTCTGGCTCTGAGGTAATCATGATTCCTTTTGATACATACAGAAATTACAATATTAAATCTTAAAGCAAGCATATGATAGGTAATCTCTAGCCTAGCATGCAGGTTACCAGTCCAATATTTTATATATATTCCACTGAATTGTATTCTTTTCAGTTGAAAAATATTTTGCTTAAAAGTGATTATTTATTCGAAGTTGATTTATTTTCTTGGGATGATATTTGATCATCTTAAACTGATACCCAATGCCAGAGGTTATCTAAGAACTATTTTATCATCAGCCAAAACTACAGTAATCTGTCCAAGACCTCCACAGGTCTGATATATTTACTGTAAATCTGAAGACTTTCACTGTGTTTTTATTTTTGCAGTTTTTGCAGTGACCCTTTTACCACAAATTCTTGGTGCCACAAACGTGCAATCCCAATGTATTACTAAATGTTATGTACTACAGTATTGTTACACTTACAACCTCAAATCTTAACATACCCCAAAACGTATTTTCTAGCTGTGTCAGCAACTAGAAGGTTATTACTATTATTAGGTCATACCAAATGTGGGGGACCAGGTGGGGTCAGCTTCTCTCAACACCAGGGGTTTTGTAGGGTTAGAGGCCACCCCCACGACACACTAATGGATTGTTCTGTTTGTAGCATGTCTGTGTCTGTTAATCTAAGCAGACAATTTGACCATTCTTTGAAAGACGCAGCTGTTAAGAGATATCTAAAAACAACACAAAAGCACTTCAACCTTCAACCTGCCAGAGTAACTTTGGTACCAAATTTGTGTTGGTGACAGACTCACAGAATAATCAGCAGACGAGTTTATTTAGACATTTTATTAAGACATTTTGGATTGTGAAACATCATGACTGATAAAAATATCTTGAAGTTTGAGTGCAGAATGCAACAATCGGTTAAATTATGCTACTTTTTTTTTAATTTTTAGAAAATTCCTTGGCATGGTCAGCATGGGGTGTATAGTTTCAGTTAATGAAAGAAATCAGTTCACTGGTGATCAGAGTTTCTATCTTGACACTTCACCCACTTCACTATCCAGGATTTGATTTTTCTGCTGCTGTTGTCCCTGCCACAGGGGTGGGCAGCAGTCGGCTAGTAGTACTGGTTTTCACTCCGTACCTCCAGGCAGCCCTATCCAGAGGGTTTACGCTGGCAAGGCAGCGCTCTCTAATGTCTTTCTTTTATATATAATATTGTACATAAATTATATATTATAAGGGTTAAATTGTGTATCATTCATACATGCCTGCCATGCTGTTTTTCCCCCCAGAATGAGACAGACAAAGATGATGTCCCCCCTCCCCCACCCCCTCCCATTGTTGCCCAACTGCCGCGGATAAAAGCCCTCGTCAACTACGACGTCGCCAACACCAGCGAATCATCCGACCTCAGCGAAGAGGATGCCCAAACAGAGGTCAAGGTTCAAGGTTCAAAAGAACAGGAAGGCAAAGGGAAGAGCACAAAATTTTCTCCACTGTTAGAAAACGGCGAAAAGCACGCGGAAGAAATTGACTCAGGAACTACAGATGAAGCTCGCGTGGATAGAACTGCGAAGGGACCAGTAAGCGCAGAAAAGAACGCCAAGTTCGAGCCAGTACTGATATTCAAGGACAGAAACACAATACAGATCTCCAGGCCCAAAACGGAAACGAAAGAATCCGCATCTGCGTTCA